ACAAACTGTCTGCAATCTACTGATGGAGAATTTCCCCAAAGCGGCCTTCCTGGTTTTTTTTTCTGAAGAACTCACACAGAGTGGTTTCATGTCATGAATCAAAACCTACTCACTCTCCCATGTAGCACTTAGAGGTGGAGTGGAAGGAGGCCAGCTCCACTGTGTTAGAGTATTCTGGTCCCAACTCAAACAGCACCTTCTTAAAGGAGTGAAATTCACTGCCCTCTGAGTAAATGTTACCCTGGTACACCTGAAATCAAACACAATACCACTGAAAGGAAGGGTTGGGAATGAATAAAAGGAACGAGCAAATTATATTTTAAGTGTTTCTATTGTTTTGTAGACGGTTTTCATTCTTTGAATCTAAATAAAGAGAAATAGATTTTGGTCACTTTACTTCATCAGCCAAAAGGAAGAGACGCTCCTCTTTCGCAAATTTGATCACATCTTCAATGCACTGTCTGGTCTGGACCTGACCTGTGGAGTCAGGACAGGACAGGACAACAGGGATTAGGCGATTAGGGAAATTCTCATTATGAAAGATTGTTTACCAATTATGGACTTTTGTTGGGGTTTTTTATATATTATTATTTTCTGTATTCATGGAAGAGACAGCGCCCTCTGCCTGTACTTTCTTTTACAGCTTGTCACAACATTTCCAGTTTAATATCCACAGGCTTCAACATGTCTGAGACAAAGAACAGCTCTTATATCCATTGTGTAATTTAAAAACAAACTTTATTCATAAACCTAACTTCCACATTGTGTCACAAGCCAAAATTTGAGAATGACTGTGCTGTACTGTACTGGACCTACCAGTGGGGTTTCCTGGATTGATGATGCAAAGGACACGTGGATTGCAATGTTCCCTGGCTGCATACAGAGCTCTTTTAAGTTCTGTAATGTCCATGGCCCAACAATTGTCCTCATTTAGGTAATACTGGATTTGAACACCACCCAGTTCAGACAGTGCTGCTGAATACAGAGGATACTGGGGGATGGGAATCATCACTCCCGTACGGCTGCGGCCCTCTCCATACATCAGTAACTTCAGCACGGTCTACAAGGAGAAGGGTGTAGTGAGAACAAGACTGATAAAGAGAAGGGAGTTCACTAACACTTACAGTACAAACATGCTAATGTAGGAGTTGCTCTTAGAGTTCAGAGCAAATATACTTCATGACAGCACAGTGAAGAAACACACCTAGGCTGCAGACAAATAGTCGCACCATTGTAGGCAAAAAAAGACATGCATACTGAAAAGGCAGTTTGGTCCAACTTCATGTGGAGACAGAAGCCTGGTTATACTCTATAAACTCTATAACCTCAATCAAGGTTATCACTAAAGCAGTAAAGGTCTGCTGCTAGGATGAAGTCACACGTGTAAAGTACAGCTCTGTGTAAAATTAAAAGGTATTAAATTTAGAACGGCCATCGAGGGTGAAATGAATCATCAACTCAGTTTATGACACGGCTTTGGAACCTGTGGCCAAAGTTTGTCAGTGCTTTTATGAGAATGAGAAAATATTGTACCACGATGGCATCGCTGGCCCCGGCGCTAAGGAAGATGTTGTCTGGGTCGGATGGGATCCCACCATCTCTGCTCTCAATGTAGCGTGCCACATCCTGACGGATGCACTCAATCCCCAGACTGGCACTGTAGGCCCCTGGAACACAAGGAAGTGAACTTGGACTCTGACAGAAAACATGCCATATTGATCTGTGGGTTTAAAAGTGGACAAACAGACGTCAGACTGTCCAAATAAATGATTAATGATAGGACAAATGGAGGGAGAGGAGGGTGAGTGTGGTTGGTGGAATAAAGAGGAGTTGTCTGACCTATACTGTGGCCACCACAGGCATTGAGAATGCGTTTCGCTCTTTGCTTGACGTCATCTGGAAAACTGTTGTCCTCCAAGAGTTCAGGGTAGGAACAAATAGCCAGAACCTGAGAAATAAAAAAGTCACAAGATGGGAAAAAAAAGAAAAAACAATTACACTTACATCAAATCATCACACACACGTATAAACATACACAAAAATTACATTAAGAAATAAATCATCTCAACTGTTACCTTTAACAGCCTGGAGTACCTACCTGCCCTGAGGTGACCACAGTAAACTAACCTGTCTGAAAAATGTGATTGGTTGCTGCCCCATGGCATGGGCGTCGCCTATATTAGCCTTGATGACTTCCGTGAATGGTTTCTTGACTCCCTGAAATAAAATCACAAGCACAGACACAGGAATGAAGAATGCCTTTCCTTTCCCTCCGAGGCTCCAACAACAGCATTACAGACAATGGAAACATTCAGTCATTTCATGCCCGCATATACTGACAAGGCTTCGCGACATTACTTTGTCAAGCTTTCACCTGCATCCTCAGGTTTCAAGTTTGACATTATGATACTTGTCCTTTTATCACGGGTAATTTATTTCTCAGACGTCGCATCTGTAAGGAACACACTGTGGTGTTCAACGTCGCAGTCAGATTTCTTTTGCTCTTCAGTTACTTTGATGCCATTTTCTAAATCAACTACTTCTCAAAGCCACTCCCAATGTTTTCGTGAAAACAAAGTAATAGTAATATTAGCACCCAAATGAAGCTCAAACCATGGACAAATGTCAGTGTGTTGGCTATTGGGTTGGCAATGACAAAAATATAATCAGATTTAACTGGGAATTCTTTTTGCATAATGTTGTCACTGCTATTATTCCGTGACGTTAATAGTTTGCTTATCTGCGAAGGTGCTTTCTATAGCACATTGAACAAATGCAAATGTGGTGCAGATTTATTTGGTTTGGGTTTTATTGTTTTATTACACTGTATTTTTACTTTCTTGTTACACCTTGAAATTCAGATTCTGACTTTTTCCCTCTTCATTGAACCACTGTGCCAAAAGTGTAGATGCAACAGACTTTTCTTTTACAGTGTCAGGTTATTCTGAACAGGAAACCTGAGGTGGGGAACTGGGTCTTTCAAACACTGGGTAAATCAAATGGGACCATCATGTTTTCTCCTCACACACCGAGGCCCCATAAACCCTCACGCATGCTCTGTCTCTCATTAGGACCACTTTGTTAAACAAAGACGTTGGCTGGATTAGGATCTGGACCGTGCCAGAATGATGACGTAGATTCATAAACCCCTTCACTGTTTCTAGTGAGGAAACTACTTGGAAATGCTGGCATATTTAAACTGCATCACAAGGTTGAGCTTTTTTTTTAGTTTACATCCTTCTGGACAACAGCCTCTGTTAGCAAATGAAAACTTGGTGAATATGCAAGTTTGTGCCCTTAAATGCGGCAGAAATGAAAACTAGTAGTTTTTAATGTGCAAGCTACCATTATGAAGTGAAGATGTTTGTTTTTATTATAACTGCATGCAGCACATTTCTTTTTGGTCCCTGGTCCGTGCCTGCTTTGTAGCAACAAAGACACCGCTGTTCTCTTGAAGAGAAGAGAAAAAAAAAAAGAGAGAGAGAAATCAGTCGGGCTTCCTCTGTCCCTGAGCTCCGGAGCCCGCTCAGCACCAGGCACTGATTCCTGAGGCCGAACCAGTGAAGTGGGCCACCAGACCACAACAAAAAAAAGAAAAGAAATGGAGGCCTGACAAAAGTCCTCAATTCACATTTCAGTCAGACTTACCATGTCATCTGAAACTGAATTCCTCTCACAACATTCTAACTCAATAGGAACTGCTCTTACAAAGAGGAGCTCTCATGTAGCTGATCTAATTAACGATCACTGTAACTAGCTGAGCCTCATTACAGAAATGGTCTAGTAATAAACCATTCACACTTTGTTCTCACACATGACACAAACTCGACTAGGATTCTGTTATTCCAGTCTGGTAAGGACTAAGAAGACTCAGATTCTGCTGAGCCATCACCAAAAGTGTTCCTGTCACAGCTTTAACAGGAAACAAATCCTCAGACTACTGGACTAGACTGCTGCTAACGCCTTATGCAAACCCTTCTGACCTCTGAGAAAACATATCGTCATCATTTGGGCGACACAAATTTAGTTAAAAAAAACCCAGCATGTTCCTGGTAGCAGGTACTGAGGTGGTGTTTTCTACAGTAAATATTTGTGCAAATACAATTAAAACAGGTTTGTCTGGGTGGAAAATTACGCCCCATTTTTTAAAGCTAGCAGAAGACTGGTTTCATTGTTTGTTTGAAGTAGTAGACTTCCTTTTTTAAAAGGAAAAATTTGAAGCCCTGTCATGAGAACTGCAGAGACAAGTTGCCTACAGACCCTAAAAGAAAATATAACATCATCACTAGAACTGGGGTGGGGGCAGGGATGGGGGCACGCTTGTCATTAAGCTTCTCACAGAGAGAGGCGGGTGGGCTCTGCTGGGCCTCACAGCTGCAGCGCAATCTTCCAATGAATGTCTCACGAGGAGGAGGGAGGTGGGCAAAGTGACAGAGACTAAACAGAATGTACCCTCTCTTCTTATGTAATAACCACATCCCAAACACACACGCACCCACACACCCACACAGTGTCCACTTTCACAATCATCCAGTCCCCCCCTCAGGCCACAGAGGAGTGAGCTGAACTAAAAGCCGCCTAGAACTGGCCCTCGCTGCTCAAGGCATGTCCTGCAAAGATAACATAACGTCTGGGGACTGCATTAAAGGAAGGTCTAAGAGGCTGGGTGTCCTGTGTTGTTTCTGTTTTCATCAAGACTGGCAAATCAAGATCAGAACAGCAAAGTGTAATGAAAGGACTTTGACCTACAGTCTACATCTTGTGTGTACTCTTTCCTTCGGCACTCATTTCCCTTAATAAGGACCTTGTCCGTGTCTCAAAAGAAAATCAAATGAAACTAAGTGTCTTCTGCAGGCAGCAGTTTAGACTTTAGAGTTAAGACCATCTATAACATGATTAAAGATTAAACTTTTCTAAACTCTGGACTGGTCACATTTTGCCAAGTCCTGAGGGAAACTGTTTATAATAAGCTAGGTCACTGTCCAACTTCTCATGATCCACTAACTTCAAGAATACTTTGTTTATCTATTTAGCATCGTCCTGAAGTTTGACATTTGACATTTAATTCACTTCTATTCCATTTAGTAGAAAAGCATTTGCCACAGAAGGGCATTTGCAGATGATGGACATTTACTTAATTATTTACTTTTTCTTCTTCACATAATTTAATTAAATGCTGTAACTAGCAATTGACACTAATTGATGTTCAAAAACTTTGCCACCAAAGATTATATTAACCATTGACTTTAATGCTTTCAGAGTTTCTAGTTTTGGTCACTATTCCGCGCTGTGATTTCACAACCCTTAATGTGATCTTTGGTGACACAGTTTTTATGTCCTTGACCTCTTCTAATCGTCACAGTCTTCACATTTCAATATGCGAGTCAATCATTTCAGGATTGTCAGATGCACCAATTCAGTGGTAGCCTGTTACTCTGCACTGCATTTGAACACAACCTCACTTTTACAGCTGGTTACGTGGCTTTTTGGCTGAAGCAGAATTACAGCTGTTGAAATAAATCAGCAGCTGTGTCCAGGCATACCACACACACAGACACATACGTACTAAAATGTCTATATTTGTAAGGACACTGACACATTTTGTAGAACGACATGTATACCCAAAGATACAGACCAAAAAAACATTGTTTAAGGTAGCACACTGTTGTTGAAGGTGAACAGCTCTAGAGATTATGGAGCTATTGTACTGGTAACTGACTATTGGCTCTGTTCTGCATTTGTTACATGTGGGAGTTAGGGTGGTGGTTTTTGATGTTTTGCTAATTTTACCTTCTTTTTTATAAACAATTCACTAGTTTGATGATTATTGGATATGTTATTAAAAGAAAAGTGTTGATAAAGTTAAGTTAAACTACTAATTCCTCCCATGGAACAGGATATTTAAATAGCGCTCAGAGCGCACCCTGCAGGAAAGGAGTGAAGTGTCGACATTCTCCTAATAATTTAGTCCTACCGTAACTATACTGCAAACACTAAAACTAAGTCTAACGTAGTGTAGTGCTTTGCTCATGATAAAGTTACAAACAAGAACTGGCATTCTCATTAGAATAAACACAAACACCTGTGTATTTTTCGTTTAACCATGAATGTAAATAAAAGCGCCACAAACGACTTTTTTTTATCTAAACTATTATTTTCTACCTAATGTTTGCATGTCTTCTGCATCAAACAGAGACTTTACAGCGGTTCCAGTTATAGAAAAGCCTTTACCCGGACAGGAACCTTACCTCTTTCAGCTCCTTCTCTATCTCCACAGCTCGCAGGTATATGGGGCCCCGCACCGCGTATTCAACACGCTTTACGAAAGGGTTCATGTTGTCCAGGGTCAGCACCTTGTCCCGGTGCGACACCGCGTTCTCCCGCTGCTGGGACATGTCTCCGTCCGTCTCCTGTGGTTTGTAGAGATTTTAGGAAATAAAAATGCCTTTATGTCAGCTTCCCACAGTTGTTCGCCTCCTTCTACTCCTGTAGTGTCAGCGTGCCCTGACTGGGACCTCTCCTCCTCCTTCTCCTTCTGCTGCTGCTGTTCCTCTCAGTTCTTGGTGACAGTTGAGTCCTTCCTTGTTCATATTCCCTCCAGCTCGCCACGCCCCGGCCGCAGCTCAACGTGGTTGGTGGGACTCCTACTGTCTTCTCTCACTCTGCTCTGGTTCAGACGAGTCAAATGACACCCTCGGGTACCGTCGGAGAAAGAAGAAACATTTTTAAAGACCGTCTTACAAAACCTTTCCTTCCATGTGGTGTTCTGAAAAGGAAGCATATCAGTGTTAACTACTGCCTTTAGACACTTCCCTTCTTTTAAATTCAACAACACAAGAAAAGTTTGTCTACTTTCTTACAAAGTAGACTCCCGTGTTATTCTGTTTTCCTCTCAAACATTAATTTTGGAGTAGCCTACTATTTTTTAGAATTATCTACCTTTAATTTTCTGTTGACCATAGACAACTAGGATGTATGGCCATACTACTGTCACAGCTATTTTTTTTTTATTTTTAAAAAGCAGTATAAGACTTCATTCTTAACATCCCAATCATCAGTGAGGGAATTCCAGAGTCAAGGAGTCCCAGTGGTTCTGTGTCTTTCCAACCTGTGTAAATAATGGGATACGTCTGTGAAAATACCTTTAAATACAAATAAATTAGACTGTTGGCTGTGCGTGGTGTGATGCCTCAGCCACAATACTTGTTACAAAGAAAGAAAATGTTAAAACGTAATAATAACCAGTGGAGCAGTCAAACAATATTTATACTCCCTGTGTACAAAAGTTACTGGTTTATCCACCAACACATTGGAGACAGAAGTACAAGTAAATAAGCCTCTGTGCAGATGTTACTAATTAAACAGTGGTGAATGCAGACAGACAGGTTTCTCCAAGAAGGCAGAATGCCACAAAAGAAAGCTGGAGCTCTGAAAAAATGATTTCTTTTGGATCCTTTGATTGAAATAAAAAGGAAAAGTCAACTTTTCTCCCAGTGCTGGAGAGGTACAGGCGATGGAAAAAACAGTTGGAGAGAGGGCTCAGAGAGGAAATTTGATATCCCAAACTAAATCAGTTCACATACAATCATGTGACAACCCCGTGACATTAGTGTGTCATGCAGGGCATGTTTTGGCAGCACTGGTCAATAAACGGCAGCGCAGCATCAACTAGAAAGGTTCATGCCGTACTTCACAATAACTCCCACGTGAGCACAGAACTTCTTGTGTCAAGTATGCTTGGCTGACAAGTTGGAACAGGAGACTCCATTTTTAAACACACCTCAAGCACAACTGCTGCCACAGCCACGTGCAACGTGTCATAGCTGGTGTTTTATCAGACAAGAACTCCTGTTTTCATTTAAAATAGATAAGACTACCAAACGGTGACATCAGAGTGAGTGAGTTAGTGAGTGACGCAAGAGAAAAGGTCAGCAGCTCATTGTACCACCAGAGGGAGACATTTTTAAATACTAGTGGGGAAAAAACAGAGAAGGAGATTTAATTCAGGAATAAAGCCAACTTTGTCATGTTGTTGTTCCGTAGACGCGTTTTTTCGACCTGATCTATTTTTGTATTAAATTAAAATATTTTAACACACGTGGTATGAAAGTCACAAGTTTAAAATAATAACTATCCAAAAAGCAATAGAAACTTAAATTGTAATACTTCATTTCAAACATGGTCCCACCTTCAAGCCATGAAATGATAGTCATGTGAAATAATCATGTGAGAACAAGAATAGTTTTATGTTTGTTAATAAAAATCATGAACAAAACTGTGATGTCATACAGATATTAGATGCACCAAAAAAGTCAGGTAGGAGACTATAGGACATTAACTTTCCTCTCCCAAAACTCAGCTACAAGACCATGCCAAATGGTGATAACTTATTATATAGTAATGAAACGAATTGATTTTTAAAGTTATGATTTTCTTTCTTCTATGATTTCTTTATAGAATATAATACAATAATAAAGTTACATTTTCATTAAAAATGTGTACAAAATCTGATAACTAAGAAATGTTGAAATGGAGGATCTTTTGACTTACAAACAATAAAATAGCAATATTGAAATATAGGCTTTCTGTGCAATAAAATGTTTCTGAATATTTTCAGAGAAAATAAGAAAAAGTGTGTTAGATTAAAAAAAAATTCTGTCCCTGCCTGAAATTTTCATTTCATAATCATCTACCAAACAAGTTAATCACTCAATACATCTCCATTCACTCTTAAATTAAAAATAAGTTAAATAAACTGTCTTTATTATTCTAAATTTGTGTTCTTTGCTACCAGGATATTTAAGAAAATGTCTCTGTATGTGAAAGAAAAAATATAAAAGCAGAACTACTCTTTGTTTCTTTGCAGGTCACTAGATGGACACCTTGCATCTGACCAAAAATCTTACAGCTTCTAAAAGGAATCGTGAGAGACCCAAGGCACAAAAGCAATACCAGAAAATATAAATAGGCATGTAGTGACAATTGCACTTCTGAAATGCTGCTTTAATTACAAAGGTCCTTGTTCTGGGCTGTCTTTTATTCATTCTCAAACATCCGATTGGAAATCTCTCTAACACAGTGTGTGTAACACACTGTGAAGGCAGGGAAGGAATTATGTGTAAATCTGCATGTGCTACATGAGTCCACAGCATGGCTCCTTGTTATTGGACTGCTCCTCATCAGGAGCTTTTAGTTTCAGCAGCGGAGGGTCACCACTGGACGGAGTAAAGTACACCTGGCCTGATGAGGCTGCCGACTCAGTGCTGGTTGGGGTTTGGAGCTCAGGCTGAGCCTGAGTGGTTGTAACCTCAACAGTTACAACTGAAGGCTCCTCTTCTAGGGCAGGAGGCAGTGGTGGTGGAGGTGCAGGATATTTGTTCAGCTTGGCAGCTGCGCGCTGGCGTTTCAAGTCTGCCAAAGTTTGGTGGGACTTTTCCCTTGTCATACTGTCTGACCCCTCACCCTCAGCTGACCCCGAGCCCAACTCGGCTACAGATGCAGCATTCAGCTGGTAGGAGGCGCTACGCTCCATGAGACCTCCTCCGCTCCACAGTTCTCCTGGCACAGATGCCGACAGAGACACAGATGTCTCTCCATTATCAAGGTTGGACATTATTTTCCTGTCTGCAGCCTGCAGCTCCTCTAAACGCAATGTTGAGGATCCTCCAGCAACCTGAAACACAAGGTAAAAATACAGTTACTACAACTTTTTCCAGCCAAGTCCAGCAGAAAACAAATTGTCCCTCCTCTCAAAGCAAAAGCATAATGGCAGGTTGTGTTTTCTGCTTCTTCGTGTGCTCAAAATACACATGAGCCACAAAGTATGAACCAGCACGCTACGAGACACCACAGTGCTCTTTTAACTAGTGTTCATGCTACAATCACATACCTTTGTTTCTGTTGGGCTGTTGTTCTGGCCAGAACTGCTCTTATACGATGTAGTGGTTCCAGGTGAATTGCGGCTCTCCTGCAGATACCAGGGCCCTAAGAATAATAACCTGCAGCACTTTTCTGCTCTTTGAGCCGTGCTAGAACAACTGGAGTTGGATGCATGACTGTTTAGTAATTGCCTGTACTAGCACTAAACTACACCTGCTCTTCAAGAACAAACTGAGATGTAGAAGATGCAGAGAGGTGTTTTTTCTGCAACTTTGTCATGGATGAGAGGTGAAAATTTCCCTCAGGACTGAGGCAACTCACCATCACAGCATGTTGGTGCAGCTCATTGTCTGTCTGTCTGTCCTCATCGTCATCCAATGGATCAGGCTGCCGGCCACGTTCCTGCCACACCATGGCCTCCTTGTGGTGCTCTCGTCGGTACAGACTCGAACGCTCATTAACACTGACACGACGCACCACTTTCCTGCAGAGACAAATGGGACATTCATGAATAGAAACATACAATTCCACTTCAAATAAAATCTTCATTTTACTGTAAAGCAGCGACAACACAGACCCTCTGCTTCCGGTGCTGGATACTCGTCTTTGCAGTGTCCCCTTGTGCCGGTCCTGACTCTTCATGATTGCATCATGTTTGTGCTTTAGGTCAGTTAGTCTGGCTCTGACCTCCTCATCCACACACACATCTAAAAAGGGAAGCAGCAAATTTTTGAGGACATTACAGGACAGGTCCAACACCAAAGTGAGAGTCGGTGAAGATATAGGTCCTAATGTTTGGTAGACTGTTACCATGACTACCTTCTGTTCCTACCTAGCGGCGTCTCATCGAGAACAGACTTGGAGTTCAGATTTGCTCCATGGGCTACCAGCAGCTCCACTATTTGAATCTGCAGGTATATATGAAGACGCACTGAGTTATAAAAGAAGCACAGAAAAACATAGAATTTATTTGTCGGCATCACTCACTTGTCCCCAGCAGGCGGCAGCATGGAGCGGTGTCCAGCCATCAGAGTCCTTCAACTCAACATCAGCCTTGTTCTCTAGCAACAGCTCGGCCACGGACATGTAGCCATTTGCAGATGCTATGTGAAGCTGAGAGAAGAAAGACAAAAAGGACAGAGCGATTAACATGATGTTCATTTACAAGAAGAAATAAATAAATGAAAATGCATTGAGAATTGTTTGCTGAAAATCTTTAGGTCACTGGTACGCCCCTTTAATCACTCTGGAACCTAAATTGTACCACAGGGTCCATATAGTTCAAATTTGTAGCAATTTCCTCACCAGAGTTGCTCCATTATTGTCCTGAGCATTTAGGTCCACTTTGTCTGGAAGCTGAGCCTGAATGTCTGATAGCATGGCATTTTCTTTAGCTGCCCTACATTCATCGATTCGTTCCTGAGTTATTCCTAAAAACATAAAGGTAAAACAGCAGAGATTCCAGTGAACACTACAGAAGTGAACACAGAAAAGAAAGAGTAAACTGTCCCTTTTTTGGCTTTTTTCTCAACATCTAAGAGGAAAGACATGGTAATTGTTACTTATCAAGTCAACATCAGTGCTGTCCATTCAACTCTTAAACACTTTTTGGTTGGCAGCTTGTAGGCATAAACAGAACTGCACTGATTGTGGTGATTACAAAGTAGTGTTCTGCCAACACGTTACTGACCCTGTTCAGCCATAACCGTCTCCAGCAGCTCCAGGGTAGCCTCATCCTCACAGAGGTCATAGGGCATGTTGCCATCTGCGTTGACAGCCAGCAGGTCAGCTCCACTAGCAGCATGTAGACACAAATACAGATGGATTAAAGAACTACATAGTAAAGCGGTCTGGTGTATGAAACCACTCAGGAGTGGTGAGTGCATAGAGCTGACATACAAGCTGCAGCCGCATTCGAATTGCTTATGTAAACTAGATACTCAAGAAATTCAAGAAGGCTATCAGTCTGTTTATACTTGTTAGGTTAGAAAACTTCATCAGTGAAGGTTCAGGCAGTACACATCAAAGTATACACAGTCAAACATATGTCATTATAATTTTATAAACAGTGACAGGAGAGGCCAAACTCACGCCTGAATCAGGAGCTGCACCAGGCCCGTGTGTCCACAGGTGGCAGCAGCGTGCAGTGGTGTCCACAACTCACTATCACATGCATTAACACAGGCACCAGCATCCAGCAGGCACTGCACGATCTCCACAAAGTCATCAATGCAGCACTGTACACAATAATGCAATCGTAGACACGTGTTCAAATTTAAAACTGGGGTAAGACACATCACAAATATGAAAATATGTGGACAAACAACCACAAGGATAGTGGACATACAATGGCTCATGCTGCAGAATAAAAAAAAAAACTTTACCAGCCCTACCCTCTGTAGTGCACACAACAAGTTTTCCAAAAAAAGGTTAAGTCAGCAGCTTTAGTGAGCAACAGAAACAGAAAGAAAGTAAACTCGCTTTTGTTGCACTGACATCTAGATTTAGTTAGTGAGTTTACATTACCGTTGCTCTTAATCTTCCAACCTTACCCTCGTGTGTATTCGTCATGCGATATAATTAGAGTGTAAATACAGGTTAAGACAACGCAGGGGGAGCAGTGCTCAGTGTGAACAAAGCAATACATTTACACAAGATATAAACACACAGGGCATAAAATAAGGGACCTGCCTTAGTAAAGTGAGTCACAAAAACACACAAAAAGAAAGTGCATGCAATATTGTTGCTTTGTACACGGTGATAATAATGGGAGTAGGATGGACTGAATAGATGTGCAGACAATGAAGGATAATGTACATTGGTGGTAATCCTATAAAGTAACCTACTCAGAACCAACACTGAAGCAGATGGTACTTTTTGGAGATCCTGATAATGAAGGTTGTCTTCGGTTAAGAGTATCAGTTATCAACAGCTCATTATACAGTACAAATTAGACAAAATTAAAAAGAGATCTGTATGAGTGTGTGTGTGTGTGTGTCTGTACCTGATGAAGGGCTGTCAGTCCATCTTCATTTACCAGATCTGGGCTGACACCATTGTTGAGCAGTTGTCTCACTGGAAGAAACACCACCACAGTCACAGGCACACACAAAAACAATTAAGACTGAGTCCTTGACACATGACCGTTGATGATATTTTCTCCATAAATGTGTCTTGACGTCACTAAAATTACAATTGTTATTCTACCCGTCTTTAGTTAATGTACCCAAAAATCTTAAAGTGAAATGTTTTCCATCACTGACAGGATACAAACTAGTTCTGTCATATTTGCTGAAGAGATGAGATCAATAGATGATCATTGTAAAAGTTCCTGTTTAGATATGACTCAGACACCTTATAAATACTCAGTGCTCGTGCAAAGGTTGCTGTAAATACAACCAATGCTTTTTTCATGTGTTTGTTTTGGGAGAACTACATGTCTGAACATTTTTAAAGGTTGAGCTTTTTAACAGAATTTCTTGATTTTTTTAAAGAAACAAACTGTATTATAGAAAACAGTGTGGATTTTCTTACACGTACCTTCTTCCACATCATCGCGTGCAGCTGCATCTAAGAGCGTGATAGTGTGGGGAAAAGTTACTTTGATGGTGCGCGTCTTTTTCTTGTCTGCTTTGGTCCTTGATCCTCGTGCTGAGTCCTTCTCCATTTGTATCCACGCCTTGAGTTGCTGTGCACGACGCTTCTGCGCATGCTTCAGGCGCTCAGTGGCACCTAAACGGCCAACTGTGGCCATCTCGGCGAGCAGCTCACTGTGCTCTGCTGCCATGCCGTCACAAGGCCTTGGACTTCTATTATATTTAATTGTCTTAATTCACAACAGTAAACAATGACAATCTCAGAGTTTTAAGCTTATCATGGGTTCCCTCCTGTCAGGCCTAACAGGCTGCTGCCTGTAGGAAGGCACAAAGAAGTGCTTTGAATATACTGCATTAAAAAAATGATCACAAAAAAGTGAAGCACCAATTGTTAACAAATAATGAATAAATCCCTATTGGACATTATCATTTATCTACATGATTTTAGGTGAAAAGACACAATCTTGCAATTTCTTCTTCCCCATCTCTGAGATTAACTTGTCTTGCCGAAAAAAGTGCAGAAAGTGTTCAAAAACACACTCATCCAAACTGCTGGTGGTGTCCACATGACAGTTCCTCTCTCCAATTGTCCTATAGGACACTCATCCAACGATCATCTTGGGATCCGGGTGCAAAGTCATGACAGTAAATGCAAAAGCTGTGCTGAAACTCAGGTTAAATGCTCCATTTTTGAATGGAAACAAAACAGCAGCATCAAATTCACAGCGGTTTACAGTGATTGTACGGGTGTGGTACAAAATAAGTTCCAAAGTTAGGGATATGGCAACATGGTGAGTTTCACACAAGGTGTAATTGATTAACTGCGTGCCATTGCAATAAAATACTGTATCTCCAGGGGTTCAGTGCAGACTAGTCCAAAGACAGCGTGTTGTTGCTGATGTACTTATCAGTTGGCTTTTGAAATGTCACAGCATGTCGTGATGGCTTCAGTGACCTGTAGGGTTTAACGACACCATCTCTTCCTTCATCTGTGGGTTAGGAAAGACAGAGAGAGAGAGGGAGAGAAAGAAGAAACATCAGAGACAGGAAAATGTGAGTGCTAAGTTACAGTATAATGTAGACACGCTGCTCTCCTAATCTTATCTTTAACCCCTGAGCACCTTCCCCCAACTCCCGCCTCTCCCACTCCTCTCCTGAAGGAAACTTGAGATGGTGGGAGGCTTTTCATTAATGATTGACACACCTTGCAGCGCCATGCATACTTTGCTGTCGCATTTGCATGAGCAGGACGGTGATGTTACGTACAGAGGAAAGATGGCTGAAGTGAGACTTCAATACAGGTCTCTACACTGCTCTTAACTTTTGTCAGCCTGATGAGTGTCGTTGCCCTTATGTGAGCCACACTGCCTGGTAATGTGGCTCATACAAACTGTTGGCTTATCCCAGGCAATTCATTAAATATTTAATCCTGGGCCTGCTAGTGCTGAGAGGGAGGTCAACTAAAGGCACTCAGTGAGATAGAGAGAGTGACTGACAAGACAGTAGTGCAACAGAGCTAAAGGAGGGAGGGAGGTGAGGAGACCAGAGTTCAGCATAAATCAGCTGATGAAATGGCAGGCAGATGTCCACTGAATATTAATGACCACCAAGCAGTTCATCCAGGGTCTTTATCTCTGGTCAGTGGTTAAAAACCTCTTCTTAGAAATACTGTTACAATTGTTGATAATGACATAATTAATCAGGATTCGTTGAGATTAATGCACATTGCTAATATGACAACAGAATAAAATATTCTGTGCATTTCAGTAACAGAAAGACAACTAGCTGCAGTTAGATATTTGTGAATAATTCAAATGATGGAAATAATAATATAATTTAGCTTTATAGAGTTTGTGGATTTAACTAATTTTAAGCCCAATACTCAACAATATTATTTGGTTTACAACCCCTTGGTCAGCCATAGACCTGCTTTCTGCCTGCACGTGTCAGTTGTAATAAACCCACTGATGAATAATCTGTGCAAAAGGTGTTATGAACAATGTTCTACCAGACAAATACAGAAGTACATAAATAAAACAAGTGCTCATAGACTGATATAGTAACAAAGATGTGCTGACACTTAATAAGCACAATTTAAAAAAAGGTGGCCACAGGCCAGAACAATTTTAAACCTTTGTTTCATGGACAATGTTAACATCTTCAAAAGCCACTGCCAATAACTTTTAAATATCATCTGAGTGGATATAACAGTTGAAGAAAGAACACTGAACACTGAAACTAACCATAAATAAACCTTTCTTTATCATGACCAAAATATAGACTACACAATGTTTGTTTTCAAGGTTACATTTGAACATTATGATATATGGCCATATAAGGCCACCATAAGGACATTGCTCTAGGCAAATAATAGCTTTCCCATTTTATTGCTTTGAATGAATAATACAAGCATGTTCCATTTTTAAAATAACCTTTAACCTTTTGTCACATACTACAATGTGAGGATTTCCTTTGATTGAGGTGACGTCCAACACTCCACAGCCTTGCTACTACAGTGAATATGCATTTAAAACACAGCATAAACAAGACATGAACGGAATCTGTGAGAATATACAAGAGATCCAAACGGATCATTACTTTTAACCTGTCCTACAGGAAAAGACCTGGTATCCAAAAGAGGACAACCACGGAGAAAACTCACCTTTAAAGGACAATCACTGTACGCTGAGGACCAGTCGAATTACTAACTGGTTCCAGGTCAACCACAGTAAAACAAGGAACATGGTTTGTGGTATTTTAATCAGCTTTAAAGGATCAGAGGCTTGAAAGAAAAATTGAAAATCCACACAGGAACTTTACTGCTATATTACATGAATAACTATTGGGTTATTGGTCATGATAATTATTTAAAAGATTAAATAAGATTAACATCCAGCATGTTTCAACATTAGGTCAGACAACTGGTTTGCGTCAGATCAGCCTCACTGAGCAGAGGGCTGCTTCTACTGGTTTTGGTGAAGCTGTGCAAAACAGAATATGTATACAGTATAATGTCTATTTATTATTGCATTAACTTTTATCTCCATTATTTTGACAAATTCTTCAATTTCTATGGTTTGTTTGCACTTCTCTACAACATCAACAACTCCAAATACCATTAAAAAACACTGGTTCAGACAAAACAAACAAACACAAAAATGCAAAAACCTTTGATAAACAGGTGGTTCACTCTACAACTGCCACTTCTTGCTAACTCACAGAGCTAATTCAAACCTACAGAGAATCTCACTCATAATGCATTTAAATAAACAAAACAAACCCAGTTGCATGGGGCATAGCACGCAAAGGACACTCATCTCTAGGCACAGCCCAAACAAGATGACTTGTATCTCAGTGAAAGCCAATCAGTGCCGAGGCTGTAAAGGTGAGACAGAAGCCAGGATGCTGTTTTCTTCTTCTTCATTTGAGTATATGATAGGATATATTATATGTTCAAGGTCTGCAATGACATTACCCCTGCACAAATTATCAGGTCTTTTCTAAATGAAAAAAATCCCACAAAATATCATCACAAGAACAGCTCTGTTTACTCAGTGTTGGGAGTAATTTGTCCTTGGCGTGCCAGCAACACTGCCCAGATTTATGCTGTGTCAACAGGAGCTACAAGACAGACCTTTTTAAGACAGGGAAAATATGTCAAAGTAAAAGTTCAAAAACATATGAAATCATGTATAAAATGTACCTAGCTTAGCTACAGTTCTAAAAAAACAACTTTGTTTATAATAAACATTGTATACATTACAGGTATAAAGTAACTTAAAAGGTCTTGCATCCATTATCACTGTAGATTCAGTATGAGTTCAAACAAGCTGTAAAAGACTGAAATCATTGCTGCATTTTCTGGGTAAAACAATAGAATAAAATAGGAGTGTATGCTCTACACAAAACTAATAAGACAGTACTAAACACAACAGCATAGGAAACATTAAAAGAAGTTCTTAGCTGAAACTCATTTTAAAAAGCACATTCCCCTTGTGTCAGAAACTGTCAACTATTTTCTATTTTTTTTTTTTTTTTTTGCAACAAAATCCTCATGCTTCAAAGTAGGACAAAGTAAAGACCAATCAGACAGAATGTCTAGCATTGCAGTGCACGTACACAGGAATAAGTCTGGAGAAGGTGTGCCCATACAAATGGGCCCAAATCAATGCAACCATTTAACTTTTTTCTACTTACTGACCTGACAAGTAAGGTTGTTGGGAGGCTGCTTTAGAACATAAGGTCTCTTTCAACAGCTGAAATGAATGGACTACTTTGACACAAATTTATACACACATGGATTTGTTATACAAGAGGGTGGTAGTAACATGTAATGGCAGGTGAGGTGAAGACAACGGAAGGATATATGATTGAATCTCAACACTGCCTTAAAACCTGTTGGTTCAGGAGACGGTGAATCAGGTTTTTATTACTGTTTGACATCACAGAATGACATTAAATGGTACCACCTCCCTGTAACAGACTATATTATGTTGACACAGATTAGATAATCTCAGAGTTAATTAATTCCAGCTAATACTTCACATTAAATATATAGAGAGCATATTTATCTGACTTATTATAACTACAAAAACAAGAGAAAGTGTCTTACTGTGTTTTGTACACCACAGTACTTTAAGATGAATTAACATAATGGTCCTCTTTAGAAGACATAGTAACATTAAGCTTGGTCATGGGTAAAGGTTTTCTGTTGCTCCATTTAATCACTCAGAAATCTCAGTAATGCCTCTGTGGCCATGAAAACTAACAGTGTGTGTATGTGCCTGTGTAACACTGGAACACTATGGAGGTTGGTGGAAATAGTGAAAAGACAAAAGGGACTTTTTTTTAGAAGTCCGGATGTGGAATGAAGAAGGAATGGAGAAGAATGTCAAGGCAAAAGACGATAAAGACGAGGAAGGACAAAGAAGTTAGTCCTTTAACTGTCTCGCTAAGCACAATACTATGTAGGGGGAAAATAACATTTGCTAATTTATTAACATAACAGAAACATTTTCTCTTAGAAAAACAATGAAAAATGTTATTAGTGCATGCACAAGATAATGGATGTCACAAAAAATTTAAAAAGAATTTAAGATATTCTTTAAAGATAGCACCTTTTAAGTCATTGTTCCTTAAAGTTATAATATAATGTTAATTGACAACATTTTAATTTAATACCCGATTAGATTTATTCAGATCCACAAATCAAATCCACAGCTATTAGAAATGTTTACACAAAAATAATGGCGTGGAATTCATCCAGGTATTTGCCTAACTAAATTGAAAAATAACCTAGATTAATACCTACAATATAATGAACAGAAAAACACAAATAAAGCTCACTATTCGGGTTGAAACTGTTAATTGCTGTCAGTCGTGGTCTTGTTTGCACACTCAAAGGTAATCGTTTTAAAACTAAAATTACTTTTCCTGTGATAAGTTATATTTTGGCCACAATTCACAAATTAAGTCCCCATTCCTACGGTTCTTCAGTTAAAAATGAATAAGGTTAGACATATTACAGGGTTCACACCGTGTACATGTGTTTTGGTTAAAAGCAACACATTTTTAAAACAACTTAATAAACCTCGCTGCGATACAAGTGTCTTCACTTCCTTCTCAAATTATTTCCTCGGTTTCCACCATAGTTTTCCCACAGTGAGGATTAAACAGCGGATTAAAACAAGTCAGCCAACTGTCCACAAACTCTACACTGAGGCGGCTGCGCTCGCAGTGACCGTTTTAAACAGCTCCGCTACACTCCTGCCCGGTTCCATTCAACACACCCGAGATCAGATAAAGTAAACGTCAGACCAACTCGAAAAATTAACCCAGTTTGTTACTATGAGGCGACCTTAACTGTGTAAAATGAGAGTCAGGAACCACCTGTTGGGCTGCCACTGCGTCGACTAACGTTTATAATAATGTGTCACGCTAACGTCTCTTTAGCCGCAGGTTAGCTTGGACTACAGCAATTTGAGTTCGAATTCTTACCGTTTTCTTCAGTTCGGGTATACCTAACAGGTAAATCCGCAAGAAGTTTTAGAAGGACAAGAAAATAAAAGGAGATTAGAAAAAGTGCGACAAACTTCTTATCTTGCGAGGTGTGTCAGCGACAGCTGCTGTGACAATGTCCATCAGACGGCTGCTCCTGCCCTCAAGGGAAACGTCCATACTCCTCACCATAACAACCACACCTGCACGGTGTTTTGTATACAGACTCCACTAGAGGGAGACAATATCCAAAGCTGGCTGCAGGAGAGGAAGAAAATGACCATGTCAACCGGAAGATAATTGAAAATATGAAAATTGAAAATGGGACACTTTTCACATCGTTAAATAATGGTAAAATTGTGACAATAAATAAATAATAAATTCTATAACAAATTAGTTTACATAAGTCTGAAATGAAAAATAAAAATGGGTAAAATAAAAAAATATATCTTTATTCAACATTCAGGAGAATCACGCATCTGATATAATCATATTTTATTATTTGTGTTTAATATTTATTTGTTTTCCATACCTATAAATTGCAAACATATTTACAAATATTGGCATTTTGTTTACACACTTGTTTCTAAGTTTTAGAGGACATTTTTAATAAACAGAAAGATGACAATGGCACTGTGATCATCCAATACCAGAATGCTATACAGTAAATTTAGTCCTCAAGACCTTTCTTTTGATTTTTTTTATTTAATCTATTTTTTTTTCAAAACACCTTCTGAATTTACCCAGAATCCTCAGCTAACAACTGGAGGTTAGTCACTAGCAGATATTTGATTGGTCACATGTTTAAATATTTGATATTTTATTTCAATGCGAAATATATATTTATAACCCTCATCCTAAAATACTTTTTAACCAGTTTTGCTACGAGGGAGCATTCCAGGAGAGCTGGAAAGGGATTTGTCCAGACACAATTAGCCTGTGTGGTCAACAGCCTTGTCCTGAATTGTCTCCTATTCTTTGAGTTTTCTTTTCTTCTCATTGATGGCTCGCTATAATCCAGGCAAAACCTTTTTTAAGCAGCACTCCAGCTAACAGGAAGAGATAGACTGACAGTTTGTATTTAAATCATCCTCTCTGGCACTGGAGACTTCATAATGAGAACTCATGTAAATTAACATGTAGACATTGCACATAAAGAAAGAAAAGCACGTTGTCTGAACATGTTACATCTGACACTGGTGACGGGGTGAATGAAACTGCTTCTACAGTAATTGAAAATGAATAATTTTAACCCCATAACGGATCTCTGTTGAGCTGTAACAATCTGCATGAATACGGTCTCGATAATAATGTTTAACTGAAACCTCTAGGGGGAGACAAACCTTCGTGATGTGCTTCTCCTTGTGGCAACCAATATATAACTTCACTCAATTCCAGCAATTTTCAGCAGGTGAAAGAGGTTTGTTGTTTAACATGTTGCGGAATTTGTTTTCCCCAGAAGAGGCACTGGAACGATTCGTGCATTTATATAAATTTCACCAGAGCTGCACCATTATGTGGTAAGATCTGTAAAGTAGTTTTTAGGAAAACTAGGTGTTGCTCTTAAGCATGGAAATAAAAAAAATCACGTTATTTTTTAATTATCTTCCATGACTCACCAGCTGCTCTGATGACTAAAATGGTTGAGGATATGTTTTAATTGGTGCCCGTTAAATAACTGGGGAATGTGTGTATGCACATACATATAACTAGGTTAATCCGATTAAATACTTCAGTTCTACGATAACTCAGAGAAGTTTTAAAAATGATTGACGTAATGACATTCTCTGTGTATTCCAGATGACGTTTGTTTGAACTTTGTTAAACCTTTGCAACAAACAAACATAAAAGTCGTTTTCCCCTATTGTGGATTCCAATATTGACTTCAGTTTTAGTTGAGAACATATTTGGGGGCAGTTTCCAAAGGTTGCGGTGTTGGGCGTGATTGCTGCTGTTTCGTGTGTGAATGCCCTGCCCAGTACAGCACTTTGCAGCTTGTAAGTACCTGAAAACCCACAAATGGTGTTGAATGCTCCTTGTATTTTGTCACATGCAAAGCAGCTTCTCGGGGAAGGGACCGTCTCCAGTTCCTCAATGGGCTTTGCCTAATCCAACTTGTTTTCACTGTCTTGCTGGGAAACAAGGCTTTGCACATTAGCACTGCATTAACTGGAACAAAAGACGTGCATTCCCGAAACTTTAGACCTTCAACACTGAATACTATTCTGGAAAGGTCCAGGGCAGAGCTGGGTTCATAACGTGCACAAAACACTTCCGAATATTTTATGTACACTGTCAGATATATTCACACTTTGACTGTGTAGTACGTCATATTAATATAATAACTCTTCCCTCCAATAATCTCTGATTATCTGAATTTGTTAAAATATTTAATGGCGTGAATACTCCTTTTAATATTTGCTTTGAGTATGGCAGTTGACGTGTTCTTATCTTTCGGTTTGTTTATTAGAATTATATTATGTATATTGGTGGTCAGAAATTGTTGATTGCACCTAAACCTCAATCGAGATTTATCCCTGCCAATATCCACCTCGCCCACTTAGGTTTTACTCATACTTCAACGAGAAACTCAAAAAATGTTGAATTCATTTTAAAACTGGGTTGTGGTTCAACTTGCACTCGTGTATGTACCCACCAATACGCACTCGTGCGTAATTATTGAATGTTTTCAAAGCAAACTCTGAGAATGTGAATCAGGTATAAAGGGGTGTGTTGATATGACCCCGAGGGTTATTTGTAGGTTTACGGTCCTCTCTCGATCACATACTTCATACCCAACAAACCACCACCCCCGCCCCCCGGGCGATCACTCACTCTGCTCTCAGATAACGCGTCACTCTCCCTTCGATTACGCAGCGGGATTTACATGAAACTGTTAATTGTTTGCTCTTCAAATAGAGTCAGCTTGGAGCCAGCAGTCTGCCAGAAGTTAAGGACCGACTCTTTAACCTCCCCCTCTCTCACTGAGTCCCTGTCCGGACAACATTGTCCGATCTTCCCCCTGGGCTGATCAGCATGACAAAGCACTGGCCGCAGCAACGCGTCTTGGCACCACCCGCTTCTCTGTCCTCCACCGGAGAACAACACCCCGACCATCAACTTGACTTCCACAGAAACGCGCAGCAGACCGTCCCTGTCGGACGTGTAACGTGGATCTCTGCGGTTCATCCACGATCCCTCCCTGCGGCTCAGATGGTTCCCCAACAGCCGCCGCTGCGCATAGAGAAACCCTCAGCGCGCCCGGAACACCTCAGCGGTGCCACAGCACTCATGGATAAAGCCGCACCGTACTCAAATGCACATGATGAAGAACCCAAACAAGATTCTATTGACCGAGATTCATGGAACAGTGAAAGGAAGAAGAGTAAGAGCACCGATGGGAAGAAAAAGAACTACCAGCGTTATCCTAAACCACCCTACTCCTACCTGGCAATGATTGCTATGGTCATCCAAAGATCTCCAGAGAAGAAGCTGACTTTATCTGAGGTAATTATAAGAACTGGAACTGCAGTGTTGCAATTTCTTAATACAAACGTTTCTAGGGTTTTTGCTTTAGGTAATAGTGTAAAATTCTAAAAGTAGCATGAAATTACATTTCTACACATTTTGTTGGCCACATGTATTGACACTGGACATACAAATGTTAATTTTACAGTATTTGAAGTGACACAACCCAGCTACATCTGAGTGACACTTGAGTGACCATTCCTACCATTCTTGGTGGGCTCTGATAAGGTTGGATTGTAGCGAAAGCAGACACTGTTCTGCAGAGAGGAAGTGATAAGATACAACACAGACACATTACTACTCATTCAACCTAATTAAACTGCTGCTATTTGTTTAATTTTAGTTTATTGAACAACTGACATCATTGAATTAGAATTCTGCAGATTTGGGAATAAGTGAAAGGCCTTAATTAAATGAGTGCATTCATATTTCTTTCAGGAAGCATCTGTTTCTGTGGTTATGCTGACTCTCTATTCTCTGACTTTATTTCCAGATCCTAAAGGAGATCAGTACCCTCTTCCCATTTTTCAAAGGAAACTACAAAGGCTGGCGTGATTCAGTGCGTCATAACCTCTCGTCCTATGACTGCTTTGTCAAGGTTTGTACAATAGGACGTTTTAAACTAATACAATACATTTTAGGTTATTGTGATGGAAATAATTGACTGAAACTGAGTGAGTGCTGCATGACTATGTTGACAAGACCAACACCCGTCTCATTGTCCACACTTCTCCTTCCTGTAGGTGTTGAAGGATCCGGGTAAGCCGCAGGGAAAAGGTAATTTCTGGGCAGTAGAGCTGAGCCGTGTTCCACTTGAACTCCTAAAGAGGCAGAACACGGCAGTGTCACGTCAGGATGAGACCATTTTTGCCCAGGACTTGGCACCCTACATCTTGCAGGGACACAAACCAGAGACCGAGGCTACTCCAGACCCCGTGACCCCCCTTCTTCCTATGCGTGCTGAAAACCCATCTCCACGACAGGAAGAATTGTTTAGACCCAAGCTGGACTCATCTTTTGCTATTGATTCTCTGCTACACAGCCTACGTCCCACAAGTGCGTCTGGGGATGTGGACGCAGCTACCAGAGACTTCTGGGGTGATGGGGAGCATCCGAGAACTTCCCCGCCCACGTGGCCACGCTACGCCTCCTCTGCCCGTAGTGTCTCTGCCAGCTCTGCCAGCCCTGCTTCTACCTCGTCCTCATCCGATGAAGAGTGGAAGGGAATGTCTCTGTCAGGGAAGCGAGCTCCCCCAGATGGTGACGCAGGGTCTGATGGTTTTGATGACTACCGACCACCACTGCACAAATCAGCCAGACGGGAAACTGCTGCGCCTCCCTGGGAGTTACCTACATCTTACGCCAAGTATGCTCCACCAAATGCAGTTGCTCCACCCAGCATGAGGTTCAATGGGGGTCCCCTAATGCCACTACACGGTGGGCTTCCTCTTTACAACTATGGGTCATCTCCAGTGGCACCTGGACACTTTTTAGGCCACACCTATTGGCCTATACTGTCTAGTGGGCGAGTTTCAGTACAAGCGCCTCCAATTTTAATGGACCTTGACAACATGTTGCAGTCTGTGCCACCAAATAAGAGCGTCTTTGACGTCCTGGTGCCAAGCAATCAGAACTCTCACACACACCACCATCATCATCATCACCAGCCTCCAAGCCAGTATGCACTGCAGAATGGGCCACCTTTAAACCGATACTCTCAGTACTGACAGACTATAACTTTTGTCCAAACATACAGATTTTGAACAGTTATAATCCAAAACTTTTCCTAATCTTAGTCTTAATCATATCCTCATCTCAGGCCCTCTGTTAAAATGCAACAAGGGTCCAACTGCAGGAAGTGCCTTTAATGTTGTTTTGTTTTTGGTAAGGCGAAAACTGTGTATTTATTTCGCCGATATCAACTGCATCACAAACATTCACAACTCTCTACCTCCTTTCAGCTCTTTGCACTAGCATGGCTCTTTGCACTGTTAACTGGCATTGCAGAGCTTTTGTAAATGGATAGTTTTTGACTGTTGTTTTTTTGAATGTTGTCCAACTACTTGAATGTGAAGCTGGATCTAACTCAATCCAGATCCAATGTAAATAGAGAAAACTAGGATTGAAAGTGTTACATATTAACGTCAAATGCAAAATTAGATTTTTTTTTAAAACCGCTCAACTATTATACACAGGAAGTCTTTTCTTTCTAAAAACCCTTGTGTCAGTGTCAGGAAGCCAATGTTATTTTGATTATGCACAGCTACATTAACATTCAGATCTTTTAATTGTTCTATTTGTACATATTGTCATTTACCCAAGATTATCTCATGTCTCTGCCACATTGTTGTGACTGAAAACCATCTGCTGTACAACCACCACTATCTACCTCAGAATAAGACATGAGTTCAGTAAAATATTGCACTGTTAGGTATTTGCACTATTGTAGTGTCACAATCATCTTCTGAAGGGAATTGTTTACAAATGTCCACACACTGTGACTACTGAATGTTTTGTTAGGTTCTCAATCTGCTCCTTTGGTCCTAATGTTCTGTGCTTATCTGTGGTAAAAACTCATTTCAGAGGTTGAACGCTCAAAAGAATGTAATGAAGTTTAACAGGGTATGTAATAAAAGGCTGTCTATTTTAACAGTGCTGCTCAGTGTCGTGTAGTGATAAGTAAACACAATCATGAACAACTTTGTTCCTAATTTATGGCGTGAATGTGCATCGGTGCATGTTTGATTCCACTGTATTATGAATGCTTTTACATATTTGGTGCTACATAATAGGAAGCAGCAGCAGGATATGATGGATGGATTTAGCACATACATTGATGCATATACAAAGAAATTAACTTTGATCAAGTTTCAGGACACAGGCACTAAAAAACACACACAGTTGATTTACATCAACCGTTCAGCAGCCGTCAGCCTCCTGCTGTGGCCACTATCCCTTTATCAGCTGCCTTACGCATGCCTGCACTCCTTCACCATCGTCGCTACTCTGCACCCTGATCATTCCTGATGAGGTGGGAGGAAGGGACATCACAAGTCCTCCCCCGACCCCAAAACACAAATAGATGCAAACCCCCTTAGGGATGACTATGAATCAAGACCTGGAGCAGGTCATTTGAATTTCAAGAGGTTAATTCATAGATAATGTTGTGTGTTTGCACATCTCACAGGTTGTCATATTACTGTACTACGTATAGAATTTTAATGACATCATGAATGTTCCATTCATCCTAACACATGCCCTACTACTACTTTAGTGTCAAATATGATAAAAAGTGCCCAAAAAGTACTGGATTCAAAGTCTTTTCATTTGCAGAGAAATAAAATGATTCAATTTGAATTAGGAGGAAAGACAACTGACTTGAAAGTGTTTTATCTTTAATAAAACAGATAACTAACCACACCATGGTTCCTAGACCCTTCTGACCAGTGTGAAGGAAACATTAGATCTACTTGTTCAAAATTGAGGTGTAATATTAAAATAAAAAATCTAGAACTGTTTCAAAACATTAATTTGGCGAAATGTTGTACATGTTAAGACATTTCTAAATGTACACTACAATCACAATCTAATGTTAGAATTACGGGGTAATTTCTGGCCCCAAAAAGTGGTTGTGTCTTTGGTCCAAATAATTCTGTTTAAACAGCATTTTGTGTTTTTAATATAAAGGATTTTAACATACTCTATACAGTAGCTAAGATCTCCACTCAGTCTGCTCCATCTCTCACAGCTTTTCCTGATATTCCTGTGATTGCTTTCCTACGTCTCTCACACTCCCTCTTGTGCCATCCTATATTCAAACACGCTGCCTCTCTCAGTGAAGGTTTCATTCAATCTTCTGCGCTTGGTCTGTGGTTTGAGAGCTGTTTCTTCTTCTTTTCCATATCCTCCACCACCAGGAGTGTAGAGGCAGAACATGTCCTGTCAGGGGGGAGACCATACAGACCATTTAGATTTTAGTGAGAGAAAAAAAATACAGTGATGATGCAAGTTGGTTGAGGAAAACCATGTGACCACTGTGAAAAAATGTGTGTTTGTGTTGAATAAAATTCATGTTAAATGTAACTAGCAGCAGTGAAGGTAAATAGTATCCCTCTGTGTAAACAGAACACAAAAAGGGATAGACTGCTGTGAAGACAAAAAAAAAAAATCACGTTTGTTGGTAAACATTTCTTATCCCATAATCATGGTGGCATCTTCACAGATGTAATAGTGTCCTGGAGTTTTCACTTCATTTATATGATATACAAATCTGTTAGGATTATTCTGTTGACATTGTTTTTCTTTCAGGTCACATCATGCAGACTAACCCCAGGCTGGAGAGAGACGCTGGTTTTAGCTCCAAGGTTGAGGACTCTGCCGTCAGCCCTGTGGAGCAGGTTTAGTCCCGCTGCTCCATCCTCACCTCCTGATCGAGAGGGAGACACAGGGTGTTAACATGACAATAGAGAAGAACATTTACGTGTTAATCAGATTAAGACTGCACTGAACCTAGTTGTACTACACCAGAACGATGTGATTAAGATTATGTGATAATGCACTTCTGGATATATATACTGGTCCCCCACGGTAACTCATATTCTTGGTGCACTGTGCACACTCTTAACCTTTACTGTCTAACCACTTAATTTTATCCAAGAGCAATAGTATACCTTTAAGTCCGTAGGGGCGGGTAGATCGTCTCTCTGTCAGTACAGAGAGAACCACCTCGTCCCTGAACAGAAGTTTCCGGGTGACACCATCTCCCCCACAATGTTGTCCTGCACCCCCTGAACTGGGCCGCAGGGAGAAGTGCTCTAAAATGACTGGATATCTGAACATTAGAAATTTTAGATTAATAACAAGAATAAAAGACTTGACACAGCCACATAAAATTTTGCTTCCATTACTAAATCTACTAAATGGTTCCCAAAGCATCTGCATCTTTATCGCTTAGGTCAGATGCGTATGATCTGACCTCTTCTCCAGTATCTCCGGGTCAGTGATGCGAGTGTTGGTCATGTGGCTATGAACGCCACTGCGTCCATTCCAGCTTGGCCCCGCTCCAGCTCCTCCAGCAACTGTTTCGTAGTATCCAACCTTCTCACTGCCAAAGGATATGTTGTTCATGCAGCCCTGAGATACAAAAGAAGGACAACTAGTGAACAGGACAAACGTCACAGCACGTATATGAGTATATGATGTTATATGAGTCATGCAATCATTGCATCAATGGATCTTTCAGTCTTCCTCACCTGTGATGCAGCACACACTTCAAATGCCCTAAAGATGACATCCACCACTCTTTGGGATGTAAGGACATTTCCTCCAACCACAGCTGCATTCTGAGAAGGCTGAAGAATCGAGCCGGGTGGGATGATGACTTTAATTGGTGCAAGGCAACCCTGATTGAGAAAAAGTCAAACCCAGTAAAGATGAAAAGTATGATAGACTGCTATACTTAAACCAGTTCATACACAGAGTTCAAGTCAAAGGGGCCAGTCTCAAAGACTCAACCTTTATTTCATAAGCAAAATATCAAACCAAAGATGACATAACTTTGACACTGGGGACATTGATTAAATTAGAAATTCGAAAATAAGTATGTTCACCTGATTGAGTGGGATGTCCTGTCCGACCATGCAGCGCAAACAGTAGATGAGGGCGGAGAGGGTGATGGCACGAGGAGCGTTGCAGTTACCCCACACCTCTGTTCCAGTGCCTGAGAAATCAAACACTGCACTGCCCTGGAATGATAGTGTTTTCATGCTTTTATTGACATACTTTCACTCTTTCAATTAATTTACAAATGTAGAACATACCAATACATCAATATGCTGCCTATTTCAATGATATAAATAAATTATACAAATAATAATAAAAAGACTTTTGGGTTCTACAGGAGTAGACAAACGCTTCGTGGGAACATTCATAATGACAAAAATCCCACAGTTTACCTCTTGCTCATTAATCTGGACCCTCAGACTGATTGGCGTCCCATCATCCATGAAATCCTCCGACTCCACCTCCAAAGATCCTGTCTGTTGCCGTCGACGACGTGCAAAGTCTCTCAGCATGTCCCTGACTGCGAGCTCGGCATTACTCTGAAAAAAAAAAAGTATAAACATCTGATGTTATAAATACACCGTAAAAGTAAAAAGAAATATATTCTCCTGTTACACAAAACCATATACCTGAATGTAACCCATGTAGGCCTGGACCACATCCAGTCCATAGCAGTCAATCAGCTCCCCCACCAGCTGGCTGCCTCTTTGATTGGCTGCCACCTGAGCCCGCAGGTCTGACAGGTTATCATGCAAGTTACGAGTCCCAGAGCAGTCTGGGTACTGGGCTGGAGCCATCAGAGCTTCAGTTACAGCTGATGTGGATAAGGAAGGAAAAACAACCCAGGGGCTAACATGACAGAGCAACTCAGGGTGGAAAGGTATAACGTGATTAAAGGATGAAAAAAAATGTAATACTAAATGACAACAAACATTCATTTATCCCTTTGGTAAAATGTAGCAAACCTGTTTATTTTTGTACAAAAAAACAATCAATGACTTCGGTGTCTCATGCTGAATGTTTTATGTTCGCTCTCACCCTTTTCTTGGAAAACTCCACCGGTGACAAGTTTAAAGGAAGTGAAGACGGCGCCCTCTTGCTGAAGAGATGTGGAGTGAGGAGGCATTGACCCCGGAGTTATGCCTCCAATGTCGGCATGGTGCCCTCTGCTGGCTACAAAGAACACTGGCCTGCTCACACCCTTTCTAAACACCTGTGGTGAGTGGCATAAAAAGATGGCAACAAGAATTAGAGATGACGAAGAAAACAAGAGTGAAATTAAAGAAAGAATATAAACTGACTGGTGTGATGACTGTGAGGTCTGGAAGATGGCTGCCTCCGGCGCATGGGTGGTTACTGAGAATCACGTCACCTTCTTTGAGCTCCTTCCCCAGTGTTTTAATCTTAGGAAGCAGCAGAAGGTCAAATCAAATGCTATACTTTAGTGAACGTCCTTAAGGCCAGATTTAAATATAACAACTAGGCATCCTAGGCCATACTTGGTACTGAACAGTCTCTTGCATAGCGCCGAGGTGAACCGGTATGTGAGGTGCATTGGACACAAGTCCACCATCTGGTCCAAACACTGCACAGGAGAAATCGAGGCGTTCCTTGATGTTGGTGGAGATGGAGGTTCTCTGGAGAACCCTGCCCATCTG